ACCAAATTCTTAGCTATTTTACTAGTATTACTTCTATTCTATCGATTGAGCACAAGAAATCGCCAAGTCAACTGTTTCAACTACAAAATAAAGTGATCAGAAATTGGTAATTTGGCCAATTTAACACAAAGTTCAAAATATTCCAATTTCAAAATAGCATCCAGAATATACAATGTAGGCATTCCTGGCACTAAACTAACATTTCCTCGGTTCATTAGTTACGTTTTGAGGCTTTACAAATAAATCCCATTTTTATTTTTTATTTACATAATGAATTTTTATTCACACCAAAAAATTAGAAGATTTACTGTTATGCAATATTGTAATAATTGTATAAATATCATCACCACATTTGTGAATGTGTATTAGATCCACCAGCTGGCGTGTATTAGACGTGTGAGGTCGTTTGTTTACTCTTGAACATCGACAAAAATTTAACATTTCCGCTACTTTGAGCTCAGTTTCAAGCCATTTCCAGTGCTAAAACCAATCAAAATCATCTCTATTTCTGTAATATGTCTTCCATTCTATCAAATGAGACCAAGAAATTGCAAATACAACTATAAAAAACATACGAAAAAACACTGTAAAGTTGCTGTTTTAATCGAAAATCTTGGTTTCAGTTTTTTTTCTCTCATTATACACAGTGTGCTGCAGGATTGTTTTATGTGGTGCACACATACCACATAGATGTATTCTCTCATATCTAGGCCCAAGTGTACCACTCACAGTTTATCAGAGTGAGCTGAGCTCATGACGTAGATCTACGGTTTGGACACTGAACGCAAAGCTGTAGATCTACAGGACGGACCCTGAAAGGGTTAATAAATGTATGAAAGTGGGGAAGGTACCTAGGAATTGGTAAAAAGCATGTATAGTTCCTTTATATAATGGGTAGGGGGACAAAACAAATTGTAAAAATTATAGAGGAATTAGTTTACTGAGTATACCATGAAAAGTGTACGGTAGGGTTATTATTGAAAGAATTAGAGGTAAGACAGAATGTAGGATTGCAGACGAGCAGGGAGGTTTTAGAGAGGGTAGGGGATGTGTAGATCAAGTGTTTACATTGAAGCATATATGTGAACAGTATTTAAATAAAGATAGGAAAGTTTTCATTGCATTTATGGATTTAGAAAAGGCATATGATAAAGTGTTTAGGGGAGCAATGTGGCAGATGTTGCAAGTATATGGAATAGGTAGTAAGTTACTAAATGCTGTAAAGAGTTTTTATGAGGATAGTGAGGCTCAGGTTAAGGTGTGTAGAAAAGAGGGAGACTACTTCTCAGTAAAAGTAGGTCTTAGACAGGGATGTGTAATGTCACCATGGTTATTTAATATATTTATAGATGGGGTTGTAAAAGAAGTAAATGCTAGGGTGTTCGGGAGAGGGGTGGGATTAAATTATGGGGAATCAAATACAAAATGGAAATTGACACAGTTACTTTTTGCTGATGATACTGTGCTTATGGGAAATTCTAAAGAAAAATTGCAAAGGTTAGTGGACAAGTTTGGGAGAGTGTGTAAAGGTAGAAAGTTGAAAGTGAACATAAAAAAGAGTAAAGTGATAAGGTTATCAAATGATTTAAATAAAGAAAAATTAGATATCAAATTGGAGAGGAGGAGTATGGAAGAAGTGAATGTTTTCAGATATTTGGGAGTTGACGTGTCAGCGGATGGATTTACGAAGGATGAGGGTAATCATAGAATTGATGAAGGAAAAAAGGTGAGTGGTGCATTGAGGTATATATGTGAAGACAAAAAACGTTATCTATGGAGGCAAAGAAGGGAATGTATGAACGTAGTGGTACCAACACTTTTATATGGGTGTGAAGCTTGGGTTGTAAATGCTGCAGCGAGGAAATGGTTGGAGGCAGTGGAGATGTCCTGTCTAAGGGCAATGTGTGGTGTAAATCTTATGCAGAAAATTCGGGGTGTGGAAATTAGGAGATGGTGTGGAGTTAATAAAAGTATTAGTCAGGGGCTGAAGAGGGGTTGTTGAGGTGGTTTGGTCATTTAGAGAGAATGGATCAAAGTAGAATGACATGGAGAGCGTATAAATCTGTAGGGGAAGAAGGGCGGGGTAGGGGTCATCCTTGAAAAGGTTGGAGGGAGGGGGTAAAGGTTTTGTGGGCAAGGGGCTTGGACTTCCAGCAAGCGTGGATGAGCGTGTTAGATAGGAGTGAATGGAGATGAATGGTATTTGGCACCTGACGAGCTGTTGGAGTGTGAGCAGGGTAATATTTAGTGAAGGGATTCAGGGAAACCGGTTATTTTTGTATAGCCGGACTTGAGTCCTGGAAATGGGAAGTACAATGGCTGCACTCTAAAGGAGGAGTTCGGGATATTAGCAGTTTGGAGGGATATGTTGTGTATCTTTATACGTATATGCTTCTAAACTGTTGTGTTCTGAGCACCTCTGCAAAAACAGTTATTATGTGTGAGTGAGGTGAAAGTGTTGAATAATGATGAAAGTATTTTCTTTTTGGGGATTTTCTTTCTTTTTGGGTCACCCTGCCTCGGTGGGAGATGGCCGACTTGTTAAAAAAAAAAAAAAAAAATTCAGGGAAACCGGTTATTTTTATATAGCTGGACTTGAGTCCTGGATATGGGAAGTACAATGTCTGCACTTTAAAGGAGGATTTTGGGATATTGGCAGTTTGAAGGGATATGCTGTTTATCTTTATGTGTATATGCAAAAACAGTGATTATGTGTGAGGGAGGTGAAAGTGTTGAATGATGATGAAAGTATTTTCTTTTTGGGAATTTTCTTTCTTTTTGGGTCACCCTGCCTTGGTGGGAGACGGCCAGCTTGTAAAAAAAATTCTTAGACTTGAAGCAAAAGGGTAATGCATATGTAAAGGAATATTATTTGGCTATTTTTCTCTCATGTGATGGGTTGACAGGGTGACTTTTTTTCTGTTATTTATTTCTCAAATACATTAATTTTTAGTACATGTGTGGTACATTCATATTTTTCTTTTACAGTACCCATTTTAATTTAGCTAGGCACATGATTCACACACTGTACTGAAAATTAACCATGTGATGTTCAAAATATGATTACTGCTTTTCACATACCTGAATCTCTCTTTATTTTATCCCCTCTATAAAGAGGATTAGAGCAATATTTATAAAGACAGGGACTCTGAAACAGTGTTTTATCCCTAGTATCAACAACTGTAACTAATATTATAAGAGGGAGAAATTCACAATGCTGACATCTATACACTCATCAGGATGGCAGATGGTAGTGTATTAAAAGCATTGATGATTGATGTAGTCACCATGACATACTCTCCATCACTCCACTACACTCTCCTTCTGCATTTTATAAGCACTTTTAAAGATTTGTCTTTATTCTCAGTTATTTTTTATTTTTATTTTTTGTAAGCTGTATGGGAAAAGGGGTGACTAGCCCATTGCTCCCGACATTTTAGTCAACTTTTACAACATGCATGGCTTATGGAAGAAAGCTTCTTATTCCACTTTCTCATGAATATGAAAGGAAAATAAAAAGAACAAGAGCTACGTATTAAGAAAAATCAAAGAAAACTCAGATGAGTGTGTATACATAAACGTGTGCATGTGTGTGTAGTGTGATCTAATTGTAAGTAGTAAAAGTAACAAGATATACCTGTTATCTTGTGTGTTTTTGAGACAGAAAAAAGACATCACCACTCCTACCATCATGTAAAACAAATACAGGTTTCTGTCCTACACTCATCTGACAGGACAGTAGTACCTCCCTGGGTGGTTGCCTAAACTTTAAAAGAGAGGGTTGGGATATTGGGTGTTTGGAATGACATCTAAACTGTTGTATCTGAATGCTTCTGCAAAGACAGTGATTATGTGTAAATGACGGTGAAAGTGCTGAATGATGGTGAAAGTGTTTCTTTCCTTTTTGGGTCACCCTGCCTCAGTGGGAGACGGCCGACGTCTTAAAAAATTTTACTTATTTTTTATTAATACATCAGCTGTTTCCTACTGAGGCAGGGTGACCCAAAAAAAGAAAAAAAAACACTTTCATTATCATTCACTCCATCACTGTCTTGCCAAAGGCACATCTACATTACAGTTCAAAGGCTGTAACATATCTCCACCCCTCCTTAGGCACTGTGCTTCCAACCTCCAGGACTCAAGTCCAGCTAACTGGTTTCCCTGAATCCCTTCATAAATATTACTTTACTCACACTCCAGCAGCATGTCAAATCATAAAAACCATCTGCCTCCACTCACTCTCCACGGAATATAGGTAGCCTATATTCTGCATTACCTCATCACCTGTGCAGCCTTCAACCTATACAGTAGCCCACAGGGGATACATTCCAAGACCTACCATGGATACTTGAAACCATGAACAGTAGCCAACCCTACATGTCATTTTTTATTTATATAGAAACCTACAATAAAGTTTAATTGATAAATTATGCAAAATAAGTCTAGAATTAGCACTTTTTCACTGATGGGAGGCATTTCACAGCTTCTCATAGGCTTTGAACAACTGCTGCCATCACTACACTGTGCTTTGGAGCCATTATTAAACAAAATTAAGAGTTATTTTTGGGCCACAGTAAACTGTGTATAACTGAAACCGTGGATACAGAATCTGTGGCTAAAGTGTAGGTGAAACATTTCAACAATAGAGAGACCTAACTGATTCATATATGTATGTCTTACTGATTAACTTGTCAATATTTTATACCATATTCAGCATAAGTGGAAGGGTTACTATGTGGACACAGCCTCATCACTAGCCTCAGTCACTATGTGACTTCTATTTTCAATCATTTTTTATCTAGTTTCAACAAAAAAAAAATAAAAATTCGCTTATAAATACATTGAAAACAACATACAACAGATTTTTTCTGTAATATATTTGTCAGTTGCAAATTATTTTAGTGTAAGGTTGATGAAGTCATACGTCTCGCAGTGAGCATCTGGGGGTAGTGAAGCTCTGCAGCTCCTATGGATAAGCCACCACTGATTACAATGCTTACCTGTGTAAATGGAAGTGTTTCCTCTGGGTCTCCAATAGACTGTAAGAGACGTTTCTCCAAGCTCAACAGTTGATCAAGATGAACATACCGGGGATCACAGAGAGTCTCCACCACACCCAGTCCTTGCTGCAATTTACAATATTTTGAAAAAAACTTTCACTGTAGATACCATGCACACTTCAAACCAATCTGCATCTTATGTTCAATGATAAGTGGCTGGTCACATTAGCCCATAAAGACACAACCAAGGATTGTACAAGATGATGAAAGAAATATCTTCTTTCAACAAACCGGCCATATCCTGCCAAGGCAGGGCACAACAGCCATCTCCCACCAAGGCAGGGTGCCCTGAAAAAGAAGAAACAAAAAGATTCTTTTTTTTTTTCAACAAACTGGCTGTATCCCACCAAGGGAGGCTGACCTAAAAAGAAATACGAAAGTTTTCCTTTTTAAATTTAGTAATTTATACAGAAGGGGTTACTAGCCCCTTGCTTCTAGCATTTTAGTTGCCTCTTAAGACACACACATGGCTTATGGAGGAAGAATTCTGTTCCACTTTCCCATGGAGATAAGAAGAAATAAGGAAGAACAAGAACTAGTAAGAAAACAGAAGAAAACCCACAGGGGCATGTATATATGTGCATGTACATGCATGTGTAGTGTGACCTAAGTATAAGTAGCAAGATATACCTGGTATCCCGCATGTCTCTTCTTTATTTTTTTTTCAACGTACCAGCCGTATCCCACTGAGGTGGGGTGGCCCAAAAGGAAAAACTTAAGTTTCTCCTTTTAAATTTAGTAATATATACAGGAGAAGAAGTTACTAGCCCCTTGCTCCCAGCAGGTTAGTCACCTCTTACAACACACATGGCTTATGGAGGAAGGATTCTTCTTCACTTTCCCAATGGAGTATTATTCTTCTTCTTTCGACTAATCGGATGTATCCCACCAAAGCAGGGTGGCCCAAAAATAAAAATAAAAGTTTCTCTTTTTAACTTTAGTAATGTATACAGGAGAAGGGGATACTAGCCCCATGCTCCTGGCATTTTAGTCACCTCTTGACATGCAATGCTTACAGAGGAAGAATTCTGTTCTACTTCCCCATGGAGAGTATTATTATTTATTTATATATTTATTTATTGTTGGGGAGCTGGAGGTAAATTAATATAGGAAGAGCATCTCCTTTTTTCTACTGGCTATTTCCAGTAATTTCACAACATTGTTTATCAGTAAAACAAGTCTGTAGTTCAGGGGATCCTCCTTATTGCCTTTGTAGACATCAGCCTAATGTGATGTTTTTCCATTTATCTGCCAGCCAAAATTCAAATAGTAGAAGACCTCATAGATCAGACAGTAACAGCATGGGTAGGATACCAGAAAGTTTTCTTCCCTTACTCCCCTCTCCCTCTGCCCACAATCACCTTGAAAGGTGAAGAAAGCCCAGACTGCATAGTTAAAGTAGAAGTAGAGTTGGGAGAATGTTCATAAACTAATGTCAATGTTCTAGTGACCAGGTCCACACATGCACTGTGTAACTGAATCCTCTGGAGCGTATGCAAAATACTATCCAATCAGGAATTAAACTGAATTGTTTAAGCTATTATACTTTCCGAGGGAAATCTTTTCATGCGTAAGCAAGCTTAATTAGGTATACACAAATACGTAGTTACATAGATTATCATACACAGCAGAGAATGTGTAGAGAATTTAGGATAACCCAAAAAAGTCAGAGGTTCTCTACACATATGCTGTTATTTATGATAATCTATGTGTAATTGTAATTGTGTATACCTGAATAAACTTACTTACACATGAACACATTTCCTTCGGAAAGTGTAAAAGTTTAAACAATTCAATTTTTTAATTCCTGATTAGATAGTACTTTGCATATGCCCTAAAGGATTCGGTTAAAATTCTGTAAAAATTCCTTAACCCACAATTGTGTTGCACCACCTCTTACCTCATAATTTCTATATCACATTATTTTCATACAATTTTTTTTTGTGTTTGAGTGTGTTAATTTTGTTTACTACAGTATCTTAAGAGTTTGAATGCAATCTTGCAATCTACATTTTGTAAGTGAGAACACTTACAAAAACATCATAAAATACTAGTACAGTACCATCACTGAATCAATTTTATTGAGTATACATTTAATGTCCTTATATATACACCTACCATCCGACTTACGACCTGCTCAACTTACGACCACTCGACTTACAACCGTGTTTTTTTTTCCAAATTTCTGGGAAATAAACAACTATTTGTGTTGCACACAGTGTTTATCCTAAACCTTACAGTATAAAATACAGTACTAACAGCATAAAAAGTAAAGTAAAACATGAAATACCAAAATAAAACAATAAAATAAAGTCATTACAAAAATGTGATGTTGATATTCAGTAGTAAAGTTTGACTTGCCTCCATTTCGACTTACGACCGGTTTCTCGGAACCGAACTCGGTCGTAGTCGGATGGTAGGTAGGTAGGTAGGTAGGTAGGTAGGTAGGTAGGTAGGTAGGTAGGTAGGTGTAGGTAGGTAGGTGTAGGTAGGTAGGTGTAGGTAGGTAGGTGTAGGTAGGTAGGTGTAGGTAGGTAGGTGTAGGTAGGTAGGTAGGTGTAGGCAGGTGTAGGCAGGTGTAGGTAGGTGTGTAGGTAGGTAGGTGTAGGTAGGTAGGTAGGTGTAGGTAGGTGTGTAGGTAGGTAGGTGTGTAGGTAGGTAGGTAGGTGTAGGTAGGTAGGTGTAGGTAGGTAGGTGTAGGTAGGTAGGTGTAGGTAGGTAGGTAGGTAGGTAGGTAGGTAGGTAGGTAGGTAGGTGTAGGTAGGTGTAGGTAGGTAGGTGTAGGTAGGTGTGTAGGTAGGTAGGTGTGTAGGTGTGTGTGTAGGTGTGTGTAGGTGTGTGTGTAGGTGTGTGTGTAGGTGTGTGTGTAGGTGTGTGTGTAGGTGTGTGTGTAGGTGTGTGTGTAGGTGTGTGTGTAGGTGTGTGTGTAGGTACTCACCTAGTTGTTGTACTCACCTAGTTGAGGTTGCGGGGGTCGAGTCCGAGCTCCTGGCCCCGCCTCTTCACTGATCGCTACTAGGTCACTCTCCCTGAGCCGTGAGCTTTATCATACCTCTGCTTAAAGCTATGTATGGATCCTGCCTCCACTACATCGCTTCCCAAACTATTCCACTTACTGACTACTCAGTGGCTGAAGAAATACTTCCTAACATCCCTGTGATTCATCTGTGTCTTCAGCATCCAACTGTGTCCCCCTTGTTATTCTGTGTCCAATCTCTGAACATCCTGTCTTTGTCCACCTTGACAATTCATCTCAGTTATTTGTAAGGTCGTTTATCCAAGTCCCCCCTATCTCTGTCTGTCCACCAGTTGTCGACAGGTTGATTCCCCTTAACTCTCCTCGTAGGACAAACCTCTTAGCTCTGGGAACTATCTTGTTTGCAACCTTTGCCACTTTCATCTAGTTTCTTCACGTGCTTGGCTAGGTTGTGGGTTCCAAACTGGGTGCCGCACACTCCAATAATGGCCTAACTACACCGGTGTACAGGGTCCTGAATGATTTTTCCCTTATTAAGATGTCGGAATGCTGTTCTGAGGTTTGCCAGGCGCCCATCATGCTGCAGCAGTTATTTGGTTTGATGTGCGCTTCAGGAGAAGTGCCTGGTGTTATACTCACCACCAAGATCCTTTTTCCTTGAGTGAGGTTGTAGTCTCTGGCCCCCTAGACTGGTACTCCGTCAGCGGTCCTTCTTTGCCCCTTACCCCAATCTTCATGACTTTCCACTTGTTGGGATTGAACTCCAGAGACCAATTGCTGGACCTCAGGTCGCTGCAGCCCTGTCCAGATCACTTTTTGTAGTTCTGCCTGGTCTTCGATCGAGTGAATCTTTCCTCATCAACTTCACGTCATCTGCAAACAGGGACACCTCAGAGTCTATTCCTTCCGTCTGTCGTCACAAATAGCCAGACAACAGCACTGGTCCTAGGACTGACCCCTGCGGACCCCTTGGCAAAGGTGCCCCACTCCTGACCACCTCGCACGTACCATGACTCACGGCTTCTTCCTGACAAGTATTCCCTGTCCATTGTAGTGCCCTTCCCTGTTATCTCTGCTTGTCCCTCCAGTTTTTGCACAATCTCTTGTGTGGAACTGTTGTTCAGAACGCATCTTTACCGTCCAAGAAAATGCAATCCACCCACCCTCTCTCTCTTGTCCCTTTACTGCTGTCCACCATGTCATAGAACTCCATAGTTTGTGACACAGGATTTCCCTCCCTGAACCATGTTTGGCTGCTGTGATGAGATGTTCCTTCTAGGTGTTCACCACTCTTCTCCTATAATCTTCTCCATGATTTTGCAAACTATACATGTCAGTGACACTGGTCTGTAGTTTAAATGCTTCATGTCTGTCTCCTTTTTTAAGATTGGGACTACATTTTGCTTTGTCCTCCCATGCCTCAGCCAATCTCCCGTATTCGATAGATGTATTGAATATTGTTGTAGGGGTACACATAGCACCTCGGCTCCCATCTCTCAATACCCATGGGAGATGTTATCTGGCTCCCATTGCCTTTGAGGTATCCAGCTCACTCAGAAGCCTCTTCACTTCTTCCTCGTGTGGTGCACTGTGTCCATCACTTGGTGGTGTGCCCCATCTCTCCTTTTGACTTTCTGTAGTCCCTTCTGTCTCCTCTGTGAACACATCTTTTAGTTAGGTGTGTGTGGTGTGTAGGTGTGTGTGTGTGTGTAGGTGTGTGTGTGTGAGTGTAGTTGTGTGTGTGTGTGTTGTGTGGTGTAGTGTGTGTGTGTGGTGTAGGTGTGTGTTTGGTGTTAGGTGTGTGTGTGTGTAGGTGTGTGTGAGTGTTAGTGTGTGTACGTGGGTGAGAGTGTGTAGGTGTGTGTAGGTGTGTGTGGTAGGTAGGTGTGAGTATGGTAGGTGTGTTGTGTGTAGTGTGTGTGTGTGTGTGTGTAGGTGTTGTGTGTGTGTGTGTGTGTAGGTGTGTGTGTGTGTGTAGGTGTGTGTGTTGTGTAGGTGTGTGGTGTGTGTGTGTGTTGTGTGTGTGTGTGTGTGTGTGTGTGTGTGTGTGGTGTGTGTGTGGTGAGTGTGTGTGTGTGTGTAGGTGTGT